CCCCCAGCCCAGAGCCCCAGGGCAAGTTGTCCTTGACCTCTCAGAGCCTCAGTTTGCTGATTTATAAAATGGGAAGACTACCAGTTTTCTCCTCATGGGACTGTTGTGAGGATTAATTGTCTTCGATGCTGTAGGGAAAGCATCAAGCACAGTGCTAGACTCAGGGTGTCCCCTTCACGAGCTCTTAAAACACACACACACAGTAAGTGTGAGATCAGCCCTGTTGAGTGACAGCTCCAAAGGCTGCCTGTTGAGCTCCTGGCACAGAGCAGGCACCCATTCTGTGTCAGAATGCATGAATTTGGTAACAGAGCCCCAAACTGCCATGCCACCCACAGAAATCGTCCCTCCACCAACACAGGTGAAATCAGCAGAAAGCTAAACTCCCATCTCAGAAGAATAAAAAGGAAAATATCTTCCCCCAGAAGACTTGGAGCTTTGTATGGTGCTTAATGTGGGCTGAACAGTAAATGGCAGGGCTTTCAGAGTATGTATTTCTCAGCAGGGAAAGAGAATAAATTGGGGGTCTTCTAAGGTCGCTGAAAAAGCCTGATTTGGGGACTGGTGTTAAAGTTTCAAAGGTTTATTTTTTTTAATGTTTTTATTTATTTTTGAGACACAGAGAGACAGAGCATGAGCAGGGGAGCGGCAGAGAGAGAGGGAGACACAGAATCTGAAGCAGGCTCCAAGCTCTGAGCTGTCAGCACAGAGCCCGACGCAGGGCTTGAACTCATGGAGTGTGAGATCACGACCTGAGCTGAAGTCGGACGCTTAACCGACTGAGCCACCCAGGCGCCCCAAAGTTTCAAAGGTTTAAATCACTGAGACTACAGAGGGTTGTATTCAATCACATGAAAGACCCAGGGAGTGCCCCAAACCTCACAGGTCTGGCCTCACCTGAGCCGTACTGACTTGGGCCTAGAATCCACCTTTGAGGGTCTTCCTTTGCCCCCCTTCCCCTTCTCTGCTACCAGGTTCCATTTTCCAGTTGCGCGCATCTCCCCTTCGCCAGAACCAAGAAGATAAGAAGGTGCCTGGGAAGGTAGTCAGGACTCAGAGGAACCAACAGGAGCTTTTCCAGCCTCTAACCACCCACAGGGTAGTCTGAGGTCACCTGCTGGGCACAGTCAGACCGCAAGAGGGAGCCAGAGGTCCCAACCAGCTTAGAGGGGCCAAAGAGAAGGCAGGTGCACGGTGGGCTCCAGAGTACAAACCCCCAGCCTGCTGGAATGAGGCCAAGAGCATCCGTGGGAGGTCCTGGACTCACTAGCCCCTCCCACCTTGGCAAATTCGAAACACCTCGTTTCCTGCTATTAAAACTTGAGGAGAACAGGGAGCTCCCAGCTCATATCAGCTATGCACACTTTAATAAGGAATACATTAAGGAAATGTGACTGTAATGTTGGGATGAATGCCAGAGAATGGGTTAGAGATATGGACTAGCCCCAGGATCCTTTTACAGGTCAGGACAGACGTATAGATGTATAACCTTCGCATCCCTGAGTCTCTTAAAAATGGTCCTCCAGCATCTCCTTGCTGGAATATTTCCCCAGGGACTACTGACACGATGGGGATTAAGAACTCAGCACAGTATCTGGCACAAAGCGGGTCCTCCCTGGCCTGAGCCTGCAGCAAAACCGGCCACCAGAGGGCGCTGTAGCACAGCCAGCTTCAGGCTTTCTGGCCACGGAGCTCCTGGACTCAGGGTCCCAGCGGTAAAGGCTGGTGACTTCACCTTCCAGGGTGTGGCCTGTTCAGAGCAGCGTTTCCTTTTTATTATTTTTTTTAATGTTTACGTATTTTTTGAGAGAGAGAGAGAGAGCCGGAGAGGGTAGAGGGGGGGGTGGGGAAACAGATGATCCGAAGTGGGCTCTGCGCAGAGAGACTGATGCAGGCCTGAACTCAAGACCCATGAGATCATGACCTGAGCCGAAGTCAGACTCTTAAACCAACTGAGCCACCCAGGTGCTCCAGAGCAGCATTTCCTGACTTCCCTTGGATGACTGGGCAAAATGCAGATTCATGGCTCCCACCTAACTGGCTCCTAATCGATGCAGGTTGGACCCTCCAGGGAGCTTTAAAAACGCTGATGCCTGGTCCTTCTCCAGAGATCACCATTTTTTATTAGACACAGGCACCCTGAGCATGGGGTTCCAACGTGCTGTCAGCGCTGAGACCTGCTGCTTAGAACTTGGCATAGTGGCCATGTCTCATCAGTACGTGCTGCATGCTGAATTTGAGAGACTTAAAGGGACTTTGGTCTGGGCAGTCCATTCGTTCATTCATCCCTCTCTGTAGCCCCGCCCTGTGCTCCCAGAACCTATGGGTGCCTTCATAAGCTGGCACATAGAACTACTGGGTGGAGTCACTCTGAATCTTTCTAACTTGCTCATTTTGGTCTCCTGGCCTTGCACCACTTTTTATGTTAGGAAAGTATTCAACCAGCTCCCCAACTGCTGGGCTTTCTGCTTCCTTCCCAATTAATCCATGCGATGGCAGGCATCCTGGGCCAGCCTCCTGGGGCCTGTGGGTGAGGTTCCTCTGAGCAGCTCTGCCTGAGAAGGGGGATGGCTGGGACATGGGGTGGGGGCGTCTGAGGTTTTAATCGAAACTGCCAAGTTGCTCCCCACTGTCCAGTCAGAGGCCCAGGAATTCAAACTGCACGTGCAGCTGGTAGGTCCTCTGTCCTGATTGAGGGAATGGAATCACATGACTGCTGTTGACTAAGCCTATTTTTGTGTCCTGAGTCCGTGGGGAGCTCTTAGAGACCTCCTCCTCACCCACAAGCAGCAGCATGGTTATCCCCACTTCACAGAAAAGGAGGTTGAAGCTCCAGGAGGTTGTCACTCCCTGAGGTCACCAACTAGGGACAAGCAGGAGTCGAACCCGGGGCCATCTGACAGCAGAGCCCATGTTCCTGCCCCCCAGGCCCTCCTGCATCCGTTACCATGCCTGCACAGCACTGAGCTCGAGGCCTGGCACACATTTCGGGCAGGGCACAGCACTCCATCTGACCCCTGCAGGGGGTGAGGGGGGCTGAGCTCACTGCTCCGTTTGCACACCTACTTGGTAGGTGGAGGGGAACAGCCTGCCTGCTTCTGGATCCCCAGGTTTCAGTGTAAATGTGGTTCTGGGCCCAGCCACAAGAGGCATTTCCTGAGGCTGCCGGGTCAGGCCTGGCACCTACCCAGCTCTGACAACAGGCCTGGAGCCACACAGCCTCCCAGGGAGTTTGGCAGCACCCTGGCCATTGCTTCCCCTTCCCAGGCTGCTTGAGGTGGGCTCCACAGGCCCAGCCCCTGCCCTTTCCTGGGCTCTTGTACCCCGTGGGGTACAAGCATCAGTCCTTAAGGGGCTCCCTAAAGCCAAGAGCTCCTCAAAGCAGCAAGATTGTCCCATTTTACAGATGAGGGAACTGAAGCTCAATGAAAAACCTCGTGGATGGCAGAGTGAAACTCAAACTCCAGGCTCCTGACTCTCAGCACCACATTCTTCCCATCACCCTCTGCTGCCTCTGACTGATAAACCACTCATCCCCACTCCACACAGGAGGAAGCTGGGGCTCTCGGTGCAAGGCTCTGCCTTGGAGCTGCAGAACAATGGAGAGAGGCTTGGAGTTCAAACACCAACTGTACTTTCGTTCTAAATTCACTCTGCACAGCCCCACGGGGTCTCTCAGGGCCTTGTGTGTATTGCAGCAGAGGTAGGGGTCGGGATCCCCCAGCACAGCCCATGCCACGCTGTCTCTTCCACCTGACCGTGAGTCCCACTTCGGGGGTTTTCACTGCTGTTCAGCAGAGGGGGGATTCCACAACTGCTTTCCAGAGAGTACGGCTGGTGGATGGAGAGGGGAGGGGGCCTTTAGTCTCTCTGGGGAGAGTTTGCTGCCCCCATCCCCACAGCCCCCTCCCCTGGCCAGCACCAGCCCCACCTCATCCCACCTCTCTCCAGCCTTGGAAACTTGTACCTCAGCCCAGAAAAATGAACTTGCTGGAAGTCAGCTGCCCAGCTGTCAGGGCCAACCAATCAGGCACTGGGGCATTTTGCCCACCTCCAGGGATGAAGGGCCAGGGGCTGGACCAGGGGGGCTGGAGGGCAGGCCCTGCCTCAGGCCTGTGGCCCAGAGTGGGGGGG